GAATGTAGGATCTGCTAGTGTTATAGAATGTAATTCCGGCCAGACGGGGACGTTGCACCGTTGTGATGGTAAGTAATTTGTGATTCTTTTCAAAACATAGGCTTTCACAGGTACCGTGAAGTGTGGGTCTATTCTTGACCGTATATTCAACTCGACTGCGTACTTCGTTCGCAGTTTGCTCCCTTCACCGAGTCCTGTGACCTCACCGTTAATTGAAATCTTTTGAAGGCCTGCTGATTTAACAACATCCTCAGTAATAAACGAGGCCTGGGATCCCTGGTCAATCAAGGCACGGTAGATGTGTGTGTTTCCGCTTTCTTGAGAGACATCTACTAGTGCTGTAGCGAGCAGTGTTTGGCCAGGTTGTTTCAAAAAATGTGTAGCAATATTTTCATTTTCGTGGGTGTGTTGTTCTTCTTCGTGCTTCGCTTGTTCTTCCGTTGTCATCTCCCTTTTCCTGGGATGCAGTAACGAATGATGTTTTCCTTTGCAAATATTGCATCTTGTGCCTTTAAAACATATTTTAACAGAATGATCGGGAATTAGGCAATTAAAGCATAAATTATTTTCTTTTACAAAATCTATCCTTTCTTCCTGGCTAAGTCTAACGAACTGTTTACATTGGAAAATGAAGTGATCACCATTACAAAATGTGCATTTAGCTGAAGACTCTGTTGACACAGACGAATGAAATGTTTTGGTCTTACTTGTACCTTGCTTTGAATTATCTTCCACCATTTCTAACGCCTTAAATCTCATCTCAAGAAATTGATGTAGCTGTTGAAAACTCGGCATTTTTTCGCTGTCTGCAGTTATGTGTTGTTCCCACAATTGATGACTCGTCGGATCTAATTTCGAAACTGTTATGTAAACAATAATGTCATCCCATGCATCCGCATTAATTCCCATATTTTTGAAACTATTGAGGCAATCTAATGTTGTGTACAGCAACTGTTTTAATAGATAAGCCGATTCATGAGCCATTGCTTTCAAACTAAATAATTTTTTGAAAATGCTATTTGCGAGGTACCTCTTGTTGTCAAATCTATTATATAATGTTTCCCAGGCTTTAATATAATTGTCGTTTGTAATAGTAATACTGCGCAGTAATTGTTCTGCTTCCCCGGCTACAAGAGACTTGAGATAATGCAATTTCTGAACATTATCTAAAGTTGTATTTTTATGAACGATCGATGTGAATAAATCTCTAAACGATGGCCAGTCTGTATAACTACCCGAAAATGTGGGTATCTGTATCGCAGGTAACTTTATCTCTGTACTTGTACTAGTTCTCGGGCTAAGTGCATTACTTGTATTCATTTCCCTTTTTAATTCTATTAACTTTTCTTTTAACGAAGTCTTGTAAATTGTATAAAGTTCATCCAATTCATCAAACCTATCTAGACTAAAATATTCGACAGAACTTCTTTGTCCACGAAGAATCAACGCCGATAGATCTTCGTGTCCCCTTGTGAACGAACAATATAAACGTTCCAAGGTATCTAAGCGAGTTTCTACGTAACTTGATGTTATTCGAGAATTAGGTGTTTTCAAATAATTACTTTGAGCCTTTTGTATTTGTTCAATCCTGTCCTCTTGAAGACTAATTAACCTTTTGGCTTGTTCCATCTTATTAATTCAAAGTAAAACACTAAACAAATCAAAACAAGTAGGAAGAAAACTAAGAAGGTATATAACAAAATAATTGCACTAATGAACTTGTTAATATGCACCTCAGTATCAACCGTAATAACCTGTCCACACTTGTATTCAATTGACAACCCTCAAATAACGTTTGTTTATTAATCCAAATATTCTTACAACTCGAAACTCAACTTTTAATATATTATAACCGAGTCGAATATTTAAGTCCAACGTAATACACTCAGACCGAAATATTCGGCAAACGAAGGACCAATGTTTGTTTCCTACGCAAACTTGTCCGAAATTTGGACGACTCGACCAACGCACAACGAAACGAACGAAAACTACAAAACGCAACGACAACAATAACAACCAAAGAAACGCAATGACAACACCGAACCAAACACCAAACATATCCGACTTGCGGGAAGCATATCTGTAGCGAGACATTGTATCTTAACATCGCGATTAAAGTAAACGATATCTCGCTACAGCGCCATCTGTTAGGGTGTAGCAGAAACGGCGCCAACACTAACAAAACAGAACCGATAAAAAAATACCGGTCAGAGAAAAGTAATAAAGATAGTTCCGTGATGAAATAACAAATACTTTATTTTATTTTTATTTTAAGCTTTGTACACAGTTTAAAGTACATAGTGTAACATTATATAGAAATACAATGATGTACAGGTGAGCTTAACTCTAAAAGAGTTCTCTTACAGCTAACATTGCGATACAGAGAGGATGTATAGTGGGTAATAACAAATAGTTTCACAAGAACGCAACATCCATCTATCACTCAAAGAAAATTGCACGCTAAAAACTTCTTTCGTGACGTAAACGTGACGATCTTTGGAGGAGGCCTATGCCCAGCAGTAGGCGACTTACAGCTGAGAAATAAGAAACGTCTTTTAGATAAAGAATTGAAAGTTTTCCTCGACTTTCATCAATAACGAAGTAAGTAGAAATAAGAGAAACTTAGTTTAGATGAATCCTTACAAGGAAATAATTAAGTATTTTACTTCATAAGGGAATTTAAGATGGACACTTAAATTGTTTGTTCAATTAACAAATGTATAATTAAATTACATTATTCATTTATTTATTTCAATATTTATAAAGTAATCTTAGATTATCGCAAAACATTTTATTAAAAAAAAACAAATCTGGAAAACCTGTTAAAAATGTTCTCAGAAGAACTTTCTTTCAACTTATACGATGGAAATTATAATAGTATTGGTAAGCGTTAAATGTGTGAAAAAATTAAGTTACCTTTAATAGAGAATTGCTATTTCATTTAGCCTATAATTTACGAAGCAACATTAATTATGTGGTCGGCAACCCGCATCCCACAGTCAGCTGTTTCTAAATTAGAATATTGATTAAGATCGCTGTTCAGAGTCGTGATCGGAAATTGAATTATATTTCCGCTGATAAAATACGTTGTTATTTGGTTCACATAATTTTAGCTTTATTACTTTAGGAGAAATGAAAATTTTAAAAGTGTTATACTTAAATTTAACAATATGTTGTTTAACAACGAGCGTTTTTAAGCATGTTGTCCACTAGCTAAAATTAAAAAAAAACCTTAATAAGTAATCCATGTATTCTTCTAGACTGTGTTCTACATCTATGCCAAATTTTATCGAAATCCGTTGAACCGTTTTGAAGACACCTTCTAATCATCCATCCATCTAAACTTTCGCGTTTATTAGTAAGATATTTGTATGTATAAGTGTGTGCGAACACCCACGCCTCTGTCGGGGTCCAAATAAAACATCCCACGCGTCGCCCACGTCCCTACTGAAACAACGATTGTGATTATATTCTCATTGTTCGTTACGTAACAATTTAATCTGTATATTTTCTGCACTGAAAATGCATTCACTTAATAACAATAAGGTTAAAGGCACGAACTATAAAACATGAGATCATGTTATTCGATTTTTTATTCGATTGGTAACCCATGTGATTTAACAGAATTCTGACCGCGTGACTCGTGATTGAGTCTTCATTAACAAGACATAGATAAATATGACCATTAATAAAGGATAAGTACTGTGAGAACATTCAACCAATTATCAATAGCTTGCAGTTCCTATCTACAGTGACGGTTTTTATTCTACAAAAACTGGGCGAGATTTTTACCGCCCTTTTATACCATGCTTTTGGGAGGTTAACAGGGCTATCTGAGAATTCGTAAATCACAGACCTATGGCGCGCCTTTTTGTACAGCGCCCTGGGCGTAGCCTAATCTCGCCCTATCCTTACGCCGACCCTTCCTATCAAAAAAGTTCACGGGTGAACTTTCTAAATAGATTTCTACTATCTTAAACGCTGCTATAAAAAGTAACTGGAAGAGACAATTTGCTAAGTGGGTACGGACAATTGCGTCTACTATGTGATCAGCGCTGAGTGGTCCAGAAAGAAACACCCAGCATACAAAGCTGAGTGAAACCTTATCCGGTCAGCATTGCAACAATATTTGTAAATATTTCCTGTTTCTTTTTAATGTTATGTTTTATGTGTTATTTCTTTATAATTATTTTTGTGCTCTTTTTGTTATTGTGTTGTGATATTAAAAGGATTAAATGTTATTTTATTTATTTATCTATATTAAGACGTTACGATATCGGTAAGAAATTCGCAGAATCAGAGTTAATTCTCTACGTATATACAATGTTGGAAATAGGTCATGTATTGATCGACATTCTGTTCCCGTACCAACCGCAACAAATGTCTGTCTATAGAGAAATTTAATTGTGGTACAATACTGAACTAATGAATTATTAAACATCATTTATTATGTAACCAGCTGTTGCCTGCGACTCCGTCTGCGCGGTATTAACTTAGTAAGTAGTATATGTTGTTCCAGACTGTTCTAAATCTGTACGAAAATTCATACATCCATCCATACATTCTCATTTGTAATATAGTTTTGTAAAAAGATAATTTTGTATTATATTTTGAATCCTATCAGGAGTGCTACGAAAAGAATTAAAAAAAACGTATGCTGACAATACAACCAGCAACATATTAAAATGAAAAAAAATGGATAAACGGAGAAAAAAATTACTGCTTAGTTTTTGTGTCAAAACATAAATTGAATCACAAATAAAAATAAGATATAATAGATGAAAAATGACCCAATTCAGAATATTATTTGCTCAGAGAATTAAATTGAGAAAGAATAATTCCTTTCTACTTATTTATCATTTTTCGTGATGAATAATTAAATGGGTATAATGGACGGAATGAAACAAAAACATATTTTTTAATGTCTTATGAATTTAACTACGCTTAATGAAACAAAATCATACTAATATTATAAATGCGAATGTTTGAATGGATTGATGGATGGATGGATGGACTGATGGATGGATGGAAGTTTGTTTGAAGATACCTTTAGATCGGCTGCATGGATCACGCTGATATTTGGCATATATGTAAAACATAGTCTGGAAGAATAGTTTAATATTTAAGTTTTTTTAATTCCGTACAGACGGAGTCACGGGCGACACTTAGTATATAAATAAAATAGAACACTAGACATAATAAATAGTGTAGTACATAAGCTCCGTAGTTTCGTAGCGCAGTTCGTAGCAATGTTGTAGCATCGCCTACGCTGAAATTGAATTACGTCCCACGCGATATTGTGTTCTGAAAACTTTATTTGCCTGCATAATATATAAATAGAATATTAATAAAAGTGTACTATATATCATTATATATTTTGTTATATATTCCAACATAATTTTGTTTATACTCTCTCTAATATATATTTTACGAATAAACGCAATATGTTCATGTTACCTGGTTTGCGTTTCTAAATCGATAAACAGATTTTGATAACACTATGGTAGAGTGCTCTAAAGTCTCTAAGGTTGTGATCTTCAAAATACTAACTTAGGCCCGTGACAATAAATCTTAATTATGTGTTTTTTTAAGCTTTGGTCTACATCTATGCATCAGCAAGATCCCTGCAGCTGCTCCGGAGATACCTTCTAACAAACATACATCCAACCATCCAAACATCCATACAAACATTCGCAATTATAAAATTGGTATGATAGAAAAGTAAAGCGCATTTTGATAAAGATTTTAACAGTTTCAAAATACACTAACTATTTTAAAATGTAACATTTTCATTAAATCTTATAAAGTAAAAAGATAAAGAAAAAATTCAATGTAACTTGTCACTATAGCTACAGATAAATGTCATCCATTATGAGAATAAGTAGAAAATACAAAGTTACAGTTCGATAAAAGCGAGCGCAAATCTTCTTAACTTGCATTTATCGTAATCACATGAAAACACTCATTACATTTACGTTGGGAAAAGAGAAAATATTAAAACGCTTGGAAAACATTTTTGGTGTTACTTTTTGCGTCATGGAGGCCTAATTTAGTCATCTTTCCCTTCCCAACCTTTTCTTTATAAGGAAAGGATGGGAAGTGGAAGTGGACTTTCCGGATGAGAGGATGCATAGAAAGGGAAGATATTTTTTTTCTGTGCATCCTCTCCTCCGTCGATTAAAGATAGGCAACGCATATGCAATTGCTTATGTCTATGGGCAACGGTCACTTCGCTATTTCAGCGATTTGAGGTGGCCGCTCGCTCGTTTAATATAAAAAATTAAATAATTATAATTGCAAAGTAAATTTCTTTTTCTAGCATTGCTTTTTTAATATATAAGTAAGCTAGATAAATAAGCATAAAGTAATAGAAACCATAAATAGGGCATCATTTTTATTGTTAAGAGAACAATAATGCAGCATCTTTGCTAACAATAGGAAAGTATTGCTTACATTCAGATGTCCGTACCCTTTACCAGGCTATTGGTGAGAAAATAAGAAACTAGAATAGGTTTGTCTGCCAGAATTGTTATAAATATCTCATCATCATCACCTGCCTTTCTCCATTTAAAAGGTTGATAGTATACTGTTCCATACATTTCCATCATCTCTAAAGTCACTCCCTTGTTATGCATATCTTTCATTCAATTCATCCATACATTATTCCTCTCTCTACTTTTGTAACCATCTGCATACAATCTCATTATTTTATTATTTATAAAGCAATTTTATTATTTATAACATACAATATGTTTCCATTAGCTTTTCTCAATATTTGTACAGTACAAATATGGAACGTGCTTCAAACGGATTTCGGACGACACAGAGTATATAATCCAGGATTGGACACAGAGTATATAACATATATTTATGAAGATATGAATGTATTTAAAAAGATATGTAATGCCTTCTAATATTTAA